GTTTAGGGTCTGCGGCGTGAGCATATGGAAAATAAATTTTCTTGCTAATATGACTTAATGGAGTGTTTTAAGATATGGAAATCGGATCTTTTAAGGCTGGGCACAAATTCTACAATTCTAAGCTTTTAAGCTTGGGAATTATTTGAATTCAATCAAATAATCATCATAGCAGAAAAAAAAAATAATAATGAAATTGAGTGGCACTATTTATATATATAACACAATAAGATATATATATATATATATATATTAATCAAAAAATATTTTCACGTAGGCATTTAATTCAAATAATAATAATAATAATAATAATAATAATAATAATAATGCCAATAAAATATTATTCTAAAAATCAACTAAACAAATGAGTTATATCCGATTTACGCAATTATCCCGAAATCGTCGAACGACGAGCATTTTTCAATAAAACGATCGAGTACTCCAACCTCTTATTTAGGTCGATATCGCGACTAATAAAATAAATATAACCTTATAAATAATATTCGATAAATAGAATATTTCGAGAAATTCTATGAATCGAACGGGGCGTTACAGCCAACACCGCTCAACCTAAAGATATGAAGAGGAACAAAAGGACAAACAACAATGGGGGTGAGCAAAATCATCACGCTCACCAATATCGCACAGTATATTTCGCATAAAGATCCAAGACCATAAATAAGGTATGCATGAAATCCATGTTCTAACTCCCTATATGGCCGTATCGCAAACCTCCTATGTACTTACAACAACCTTCCGATCAGACATCGACAAGAAGTAACCAGAAACCTTCCCTCCCTTGCTCGACACAGGCAAAGGGATCCTTTCCCCGAGAAAATGGAGTTAATTACCCCTCCGCTCTACACGGCTTCGGGTTCCCCTCCGCTCTACACGGATTCGGGCGTCACCTCCCGGATACAATGGGCATGCAACCTCTCACTGATTATGCACTCATCAAAGGCACTATCGACGGGACACTTAAACTATGATTCTCACGCATACAACAACTATTGAAACGATCATTTATTCGAAATAACGAGTGCGATAAATATAGATACAACAACTGTACCCACCTAGTCGAAAGCAAGAGATAACACAAAACACGTGTAGGTAGCGAGCTCGGCTCGTCAAACACCTGCATATATTAAAATAGTCCTATAAATGACTATTCAACACACGAACAACTTATAGCAACATACATGAATTCCTGAGCACATCTAAGTCATATAGGCATGCATTTAATAAGTAAAACCCAATTTCAATGGTACAACACAAGATTTACAAGACTTAACCCGCGCAGCGATTTTGAAATCAACACAACTTGTAGCACATATATCATATAATCATGATTGAAGTTGCATTTGAACCCTCAGGCACGCCTCTACAATTCTTATGAAGACATCGAGAAAAAATAAGGTCGTTTACTAGGAAATAAATCGTCACACATTCAGAACTGAGTAGCAGTCGAAAATTGAAAACTTGTAACTGACCAGACCTCAGTATTTACTAGATAACAGGAGCTACAGACATGCTTTTAATGAGATTTAAAAACGACAATGCAGCTAACTCAATTATATACAACTTTTTTGAAGATCACATTTGCAAATAAAGACAATATCAATGCGTTTAGACACAAAACATTTGATTCATAAAATCTGTCAAAGACTAAATTGTGATATAAACAGTACCTCAGTATTTATCCACTAAATCATGCTTCAGATCTACAAATTACATGATTTCAGTATGCTTAGAAAGCTAAGAGACAACCCTACAACTTTTATTTAAAACACAAAAGCAGATAATGTCCTTAAGATGGTGTAAAAGATACTAACATTTAGAATCAGTTTTCTGCCAAAAATTCAACACTTGACTCATACATATTTTTAATCAATAGAACATAACTCGAGCTAAAATTATCATATCAGCATGAACCTTATTAGAAAGCTAAACAACAAACTTAAAACTTTCATGAAGATCACAAATTCAGTTGTATACATTAAGACATAATAAACAGGCCAAACAGTTAGTACAAAATGCTGCCGGATTTTTCAGAAAATTGTTCGCACAATAATTTTGTAAAAATCATAACTCACTCGATTCAAATCGGATTTACAAAATTCCATAGCCTACTGAAAGCCATCAGGATAAACTACAATCCATATGAAGAAGACATTTTTTTAGAAAATAATTTCTTGATAACATAACAGACCTTACCTCCTTCAAGAAAACAAAAATGAGAAGAAATGAAAGAGGTGTTAGCTCGGTTAATCTACTTCTCTCCCTTTATTGCTTGAAATCCGTTTTTCTCTCTATTTGTTCAAGTTTTTCAAGTGTTTAATGGTCTAATTTTAGCTTAGGAAAGAGACATACGATCTGACATGAGGGGACATAAGATTTAGATCCAATCTAAATCTAAGACTAATAATTTTTAATATCATTTGCTCACATGATGGCAAAGAAAGTAACGTGGCTCTCTAACTCTTATGGATGAGTGTGGATTCAGTTTTTAGTGCTCAAAATGGCTGAAAAATATTACTTATTAGGAGCTATCTTGGAACATGCTAAGAAAATGAGAATAACAAAATTTACGGAACCGAATTCGGACTTCAAACGAACGGTTACCGTAAAACCGAAAATTTGACTAAAATTTGATTTTAACTCTTTTAATTCGGTTTTTATGGTTGAAAGTGCTATTAAAGAGATGACAATATAATGGTCTTAAGGTCTGGTTGAATCGTTTCGAAGTTCGGGTCGCAACGATTCTAAAACGAATTCAAACGAACAAAAATTCGGTTTATGCGATTAAACCGAAAATTCAAACTGCGATTGCTAAAATAAAATTGACCAAGCTATATAATCATAGTATCCACATAATAATATAAAATATAATCACATAATCAAGTTATATAAATAATAAAAATAAAGTACCATTAATTAAATTAAACTCAGAAAAATCTAATATTCGAACGAGTTAAATTCTGTTTATGATTAAACTGAAATTGCCGAACGATGAACTTTGTACAATAAAATGATCGGGTACTTAAATATATAATTTAAGTACTAAATATTGAAGAAATCACAACCAATAAAATAAATATAATCTTATGATTAAAATTAGATAAATAGAATAATCCGAGAAATTCTATAAATCGAACGGGGCGCTACAGGTTGTGCATTTCCATCTAGGTTGTGAAACTAATATTCATGTTTTACAAGTAACCAATAATATGATCTCTTTATTTCAACCGAGATGAATCATATTATCCAAATGTAAATCATCAAAACATAGAACCGTTTCATTAATCATGATTCTCATTCAAACGGATTAATGTCAACAAAAAGTTATGAGCTTTCAGTGTATAAACCAACATATGGATGGTAAGAAAGCATCATTAATGGCCGAGTTGACTGAGGAATGGACAAAGTTGGAGGCGATTACGTCATTACGGAAAGTTGTCAGCTGATTTAAAAGGACGTTATCCTGGCCTGACACGATGTCAGAATTTTGAAATTCAGATTTTGTACTTAAGAACTTGGCCTTATGTCGAGAGAATTGTTTTAGATAGAAAGACAGAAACGTCGAGCTGATAGATCGGTCAAAGAGTTTGTGAGCTCAATGAATATGACCAAGAGAAATTGATTCTACTCTTAGATCGTGTTATTTCTACTCGACTAGAGTTGAGGAGACCAAATGATACGGAATACCATACCAGGTCAAGTACGACCTAAATGATTTTATGACTAGCATGAGCGAACCGGTGGGTCTACTTGACATCAAGGACAATGGAGGTTGGGGAATAACTAGGTCGAAGATGACCTTATAGAAAATAGAGCTCAACAACAGGTCGAGCAAGGGCTTTTGGCTAGTATGTTGAAAACTCGACCTGGAGGGCCGCAAGCTGATGTAAGATCTAATGAGATAGGCGTAGACGGGGAAGATCAGAGCAATCTGGTTCAGGGGAATCCGAGATGCTAACACATTAGACCACCTGATGAGGTTGGCGAATGTGATTGTAAACACACCACATAATAGATAAGAAGAAATATTATTAAGATAAAACCACACGTGGATAGAACCATCTAGCTAAGCAGAATTGGATAGTATGGACACACTGGTAGTACGAACGGGTAGCTCGAGCAATCGGACAACTCATTTGGGGGATGTCTTAGGCAACAAGGTAATACTCCTTATAAAAGGAGTGAGGTATGATTACACAAAATTTAATATACTTGTATAATATGTACAGTTCTTGTTGTCCATCGTGTTTCTCATCACTATTCAATGACTTGAGCGTCGAAATTTCTATGCCAGGACAACTCTCGACTTTGTTTTGCATGACTTTTGACCGGTTGAGAGCGGATTCAGGTTGTTCGAGCTGGTTGAGGTCGTTTACACTACCATATCACATATATTTGTGATATAATTGTAACTCTCCAAATTTTGACCCTCTTCTATAACAACCAAATAGACCATGCATCAACATAAGTTCATTTTCCAAATCTCTCTTCAATAACAACCAACTAGATCATGCGTTTAGATAAGTCCAATTTTCAAATCGCCGCCCTTTATTTTTTTTTTCCTAGGTTCGAATTGTATGTGTTGGGAGTTTTTTATTGTTAATTTTTTCTTTCTAAGTTCGAGTTGTATGTGTTGGGAGTTTTTTATTGTTTGTTGTAAGAACAGGTTCTTTTTGCATTTATTATTAGACAAGCATTATAAAAACATAACTTTCTGCTGATTCCTTCCATGTACTGATAATTTTTCAGCATCAATGTTTAATTAGAACAAATTCGTACATATCCAGGATACGAATTGCAGTGGCCTCTTCCCTCTGGTCTTGATTTTCGATCCAACAACTTTGCTAATTTGTCTCGATATAATTTTAATTTATTGCAATTGTTTTTAATAAAAGACAACATAACAGTGAATCATTCAAAACAGAAAATGAGAAATATGAAAAGGATGTTTGCTGTACTACGATCTGCTCAAGTGAAACAAAAGGCTACTCCTTAGGAGATTTGGTTTCCACGGACCACAATGGGGGACGGAGTTTGTAGTGTGATTCCGCCTTCTCCTCAACTACATCATCCTCCACAACATCTTTAGAAAATGCATCAGGATTGGCGTTGATGCAGTTCTGCAGTGCCACGAAAGGGTGCACGCAGTCGGACCCTTTCTCCTCGGTCGTGCTCTTGAGAAAACACACAAAGGCCTCCGAAAATTGGGACCCACACAGCCCGCTCTTCAAGTGGGCTACGCACGGACAATCCAGGGCCTTCTCATCCCCATACGCTGCAGCCTCAGCGATTAATGAATCGAGTGAAGAATTCTCATTGCTTTGATTTTCTGTCATTGCCACACTCTCCACTTGGCCCATCACTCAACCTATAAATAAAAATGTCGTTTCTTTATTAGGGTGTTTATCCAAGAAAAACAATGCCTATAGATCATGATGATTCAGAAAAAAATCATAAAGACTAAATTCCATGCTAGCCTCGAAGGATGTGGACAGCACAAGTTGGTAACTTCATATATTCACTCTTGCATCTTTTATGTAACTGCCGGGGCATGATGTAGTTTCTAATCTTACAAAAATATTGTCAAACTAATTCAGCATGGATTCGGTACTATAATGTTTGAAGACACGTAATTTGAGAATGATACACCATTCGACGGGAGTTTTTTCTTTTACTATTTCAGAAATGTGAAACAGATCGCAATACGCCAAGACAAAGTCTAGTATTCAATTTCTTGTCGATTATCAAGCAATGTCTCGTGAAACAAAATTATCACATGCGTCTACAAATTGTAAATGGATTATTAACCACTGCATGGAAACTTTTACACCACCCTTAAAAAAAGGGAACAGGGGAAGTTAAAATGACCAAACATACTTATATTATCTGATAAGACTACTATTCATCGAACACCTTGTGGTATTCCACATAAAACTTAAAATATGCAGTAAAACATAAATTAACACGGTGATTCACTACTAATGAAGAATGCAAAGTTCTGAAACTTCCATTCGCCTGACGAAACCATAAAAAACAATTTATGGGTAAAGTGAGATTCCTCGATAACAAAAACATAACTGAAGACCCCGAAAAGAAAATCCAAACGAATATAACATTCAAGAAAGAAGCACATTTTTTAAGACAGTTAAAAAAACGAAGGGCGCACCTCAAGCTGTGGAACACACAGTTGACCTTAACTTGAAGCTGCGGAAATTGTGTATGTTTCTGTATTTTGGTCACTAATTCCTTTTTAGCGGGCTTGTTTATTTCGTCTTTTAATCTAGGACCTCTGTATTCTACAAAAATTACTATTTGGCCCCAATTTTTCCCTTCAAAGCCAAGCCAAGTTTTTTTTTTTTTTTTTTTTTT